TGGACGCCACAGCAGCATGCGCATGCTGCGACGACGGGCCACCTGCTGACACCCTGGTGCTGGCTGCAGCCTTTAAAGGGCGACGTGAAAACACCATTGGGCGTGGCTTAATGGGGGGGTCTCAAATGGGGGGGTCAGAAAAGGTCCCCTTTCGTGCCCCTTTCGGGCCCCTCAAGAGCCCCAGGGGGCTCGTTTAGGTACCATTGGGTACCTTGTCGGACCACACTCGCCGGCCCCCCATTTACGATCCCCCCATTACGCAGCGCCCAACACCAGCGGAAGCAGGGAGCGCCGGGGGCGTCCCAGGGAGGGGCGTCCAGAGGGGGGACTCGCGAACCATGGCCGGCGGCATGTACACGGACGAGGGGGGGGAATGACCAGGGTAAAGGGGCCCCAGGACACACAAATAAATACACACAAATAAAACTATTCCCCATACTTTCCCATATTTTCTGGGTTTCTGTCTTCCCCCTCGCTTCCCATATTTGCCTATATTTTCTGGGGAATCGAGGATTCAGTGTGTCTGTGTTTTTTCCAGGGTGCGCACCGAAAGGAGAAGGGGTGGGGAACGCGAAAGGTACCGATATACCGCTACTCCCTGGACCTCTCCCGGGGGTGCGTTCCTGACCAGAATTCGGAGGCGAATCCAGCGGTGCCGACGTGGGCCTCCCAAAAGAGGCCCAAGGAGGCGACAACGAGGGAAGTGCAGCGGTGTGGGCACCCTGTCCTCCTCTGAAGAGGGGGCCATGAAATCTGGGGAGACAAAACGACGAGGAGATCGGGACAAAATCGGATCGGGATAACTCGAAATCTCTGAGAATCGGCGGGTTTGGAGGATGTATTGGGCGCCGCGGCCGCTCCAGAGCGTTCCGGAACGCTCTGAGAGCGCTCTGGAACGCTCTGGAGCGATTTATCCCGATCCCAGCCCAGGCCATCTTGTCCAGGCTCCTCGTCGTCCTACCGGCCGCCCCCCAGGAGGACGAGGAAGAGGCCATCGGCTGCGCAGGGCGCGCTGTGAGAAGAGGGGCGTAAGGGAAGGGCAGGAGTGGGAGCAGGGAAAGCGACGCCACCATCACCAGCGCGAGGAGCTGGGGAGGGGTCCTTCTTGAAGGGGCCCTGGGACACACAAATAATTATTCACTGCGTGGGGATCCCCATATGTGCATCTCCTTGCTGGCGCTCCCTTGGTGGTGGGACTCGGTGAGGACGAATCTGGATTTAAGTGTGACTGAGCTGCCTCTCTCTCTCTCTCTGCTCTCTCTGTCTCTCTCTCTCTCTCTGCCCTCTCTCTGTCTCTGCCTCTCTTTCCCTGCCTCTCTCTCTCTGCCTCTATCTCTGCCTCTCTCTCTGCCTCTCTCTCTCTCTCTGCCTCTCTCTCTGTGCCTCTCTCTCTCTGCCTCTATCTCTGCCTCTCTCTCTCTCTCTCTCTCTCTCCTCTCTCTCTTCTCTCTATTCTCTCTCTGCTCTCTCCTCTCTCTCTCACTCTCCCTCTCTCTCTCTCTCGCTCTTTCTCTTCTCTTCTCTTCTCTTCTCTTCTCTTCTCTTCTCTTCTCTTCTCTTCTCTTCTCTTCTCTCCCTCTCTCTATCTCTCTCTCTCTCTTTCTCTCTCTATCTCCCTCTCTCTCTCTCTCCCTCTCTCTTCCCTCGCTCTCTCTCTCTCTCTCTCTTCTCTCTCTCTCTCTCTCTCTCTTTCTTTCGCTCTCTCGCTCTCTCTTGCTCTCTCTCGCTCTCTGTCGCTCTCTCTCGCTCTCTCTCTCTCTCTCTCTCTCTCTCTCTCTCTCGCTCTCACTCGCTCTCTCTCGCTCTCTCTCGCTCTCCCTCGCTCTCTCCCGCTCTCTCTCTCTCTCTGCTCTCTCTCTCTCGTCTCTCGCTCTCTCTCTCTCTCTCTATCTCTCTCTTCTCTTCTCTTCGCTTCTCTTCTCTCTCTCTCTCTCTCTCTCTCTCTTCTCTCTCTCTCTATCTCTCTCTCTCTCTCTCTCTCTCTCTCTCTCTCTCTCTCTCTCTCTCTCTCTCTCTCTCTCTCTCTTCTCTCTTCTCTCTTCTCTCTCTCTCTCTCTTCTCTCTTCTCTCTTTCTCTCGCCTGTCTCCTCTCTCAACTCCCCCTCTCTCTCTCTCTCCGCTCTCTCTCTCTCTCTCTCTCCTCTCCCTCTCTCTCGCTTCCTCTCTCTCTCTCTCTCTCTCTCTTGCTCTCTCTCTCTCTCTCTCCTCTCCTCTCTCCTCTCGTGCCTCTCTCTCTCTCTCTCTTGCTCTCCTCTCCTCTCTCTCTCTCTCTCTTCTCTCTCTCTCTCTTTCTCTCTTCTAACTCTCTCTCTGCTCCTCTCTCTCTCTCTCTCTCATCTCCCTCTCTCTCGCTTGCCCTCTCTCTCTCTCTTGCTATCTCTCTCTCTCTCTCTCTCTCTTTTCTCTCTTCTCTCTGTCTCTCTCTCTTCTCTATCTTCCTCTCTCATCTCTCATCTCTTCCTCGCTCTCATCGCTCTCTCTCGCTCGCATCTCTCGCTTC